GGTATTTCTATATTTCAGGTTACGATGTATCTGGTTGCGATGTGTCTTCCATTCGAATGTCCTTATGTATAGCTATTGGTACTCCACCTCTTGGTTTGTTTTTGGTGGCGTCTTGTCTGTGTATTTTATAATTGGGTATTTTGAAAGTGTCTTTTGGGGTGAGTCAGATAATTGCGATGTCTGCATTATGGTCTATTAAAAATTTGTGAATTTCAGATATCTTCTTTTCAACGCTAGTGACGCTCCATAAGATGATGTTGGTAGAGTTTCACTGCTCGTTATCTTTATGGCTTTTTTTTCACTGTTAGTTTTGTTGTTCTAGGTTGTTCGTGCATTTTGTATAATATTTCTGAATAAGCGATATAGTTTTTAGAGACTCGTCCTATTGCTTTAATACCGTCTATTGATCTGATAGTTTTGGGTTGAGAGGACTTGGATTTGCAGTGTTCACGTTTGTCATTTTGTGATCTAGTGTTTTGGGAGCCTGAGTCCATCTCATTGATAAGACAATCAGTGAAGATGCTGTACCTGTTTTTGGCATGGATAGCTGAGTTGATGCGTTCCATATCTTTTTGCATGTTTGCGACAGAAGCTGAGTCTGATAAGGATGTGGCCTTTCTTCTTGAGATGATAACATTAAATTGTTCGTCTGTGGCTTTTCTCTTAACAACAGATGCCTTACTTGCAGGCGCGCAGTCTGGGTTTGCTGTTGCAACTTTGTTGTTTGTGTCTGATGATATGTTTTCTTCGGGTGTGGAGATTTTGATTCTCACTTAGAAACTTTGTTTGACTTTTTATTACGCACATACTTGTTCACTGAGATTGTGAATAAGAATTTGCTCAACTTCCTTGCTCAGAGGTTTTGCCTTTTATAATAGGCAAGCAAAGGCCATAAATAAGACAAGGTAATAGTAGCAACAACTATAAAAGCTTTCAGAATATTGAAAGAAAAGATTCTCAAAACCAGGTACGATGAAATACACACAATTGATCTCACAGACCTTACAAGTGCAACATCTGTCAAAAGTTATGTTACAAAGCCTCTGATCGCTGAAGAAAGAGATCAAATAAATCATAAAAGGATAAATCATAGAAGATAATGCTTTTATCTTATAAAGTCAAGATGAAGCGTCGATAATTTCAGTGCTAACTACAGTTAATAGCAAAAGGAGTAAGTGATGTTTAGAAAGTGGAGCTATCTCTTATGTATGCAACGATGAGACTATGTTCTTCAAACAGTGGGATTCGCGGTAGCGATAGAAGTAAAAGGAAAAGTATTAATAACTATTGAAAGCAATGATGAAATCAAAATAATAACTTGAATTAAACCTCAATAGCCTGAATTAAATAAATTTACTTTTAGTATCAAAGATTGTTACAGATAAGAAACAAATGGATAATAAAAGAAGAAGGACGAGGCTGTTACATATAAGAAATGAAAGAAACAAGGAAATAGCTACAGCACACAAAATGGGAGACTTATGCTTCATTAATTCAATATCAAAAGAAAGTCTAACCCAAAGAAGAAGAAATGAATGAAAAGATAAGTATAGTCTG